TAGAAGCTGTGCCGATGTGTCTCTGATACTTACAAACGATTTAATGATGTACAATCAAAGTGTTACGTATTATGCAATAACTCATCCTATCATATTTTAAAATAATGATGTTAACAGGCTCTAAATGCAACGCTAATGAATATTAATCGCAGGATAATCATCTATTCTAGCTTTAAAATTGTACAGTTTTACTAGTACAATTTTAAAGACTATTAAATCATAACAGTTATAGAATGCAATTATCTTATGATAAGCAAGAAAGGCATGCATTGAAAACTATCAAGGTGTAAAGATACGAACCAAAAATATCTTAATGAAATATATGTTTCTGTTCTGTTCAAGTAAAAATTGATAATTTGTAATAACTATAAAATTGAAATTGTTGATTTTGTTATGTAACATTCCATATCGTGGCTGACAATTTATTGAAAAAATTGACGCATTTAATGAAAGAATTTAATAGCATAAAATGTTCTTATGGTATATCTGATATATATGATATATCTTATTTAAAATATCATTATATTAAGTGTGCTTTCTATATACTATATACATATTCATATACATTTAATATTACATTCATATATCACATATCTAGCTTTGCTTTTATATATTTTTTGAGAGATCTTTTATGATATTAATGGATATTATTATTGACTCTTTTTTCAAATTTTATATGCAATTAGCATGCTTGATCATCTCATTAAATATGTCAAATTACATTATTTGTGTCATATATGTTATATTGATAATAAACATTATTTTGCAGCTTCCAAAATACAATTAAAAGTAAAACAATTAAAAGTAAAATATTAAAAATAGAGAAACTTTGTCTCGATTATATTTTTCATGAAAAGTCTGTTGTAACTAAAGTAAATAATGCTGTTCACCATTTTAGAAGGTAAAATTTGTTTTCTTTGACAAAATATGGAACTTATGATATCATTATTCGTCTTTTTCTACGCACAACTTTCGTCTGTTTATTTGCGACTAATATAATTTAGTTGAAAGTTTTATCATTAATATGCTAGAAATTAGGAAACTTTTCCTTCTCATAGGAAGTAGTAATATTAAATACTGAACGGTACTATCGTATTCGTTAATCATTATCGTTTATTTAGTTTCTATTTCTGGATTAAAAGACAACTTTTTCGAATCTTTGTTATTACATTTGCCATAGATCTGAAGTAAGACATTATAATTCTTTTAAAAGTATGAGATTCATATTCATATAAAGAAAACAGGGTATGCAAATACAGATATAAAAGTAGAATACATTTATAAAAGTAGAATACATTTTTATCAAATGTATTACTTAATTGGAAACGAGATCTATAAGACAATAAATCTAATGAATATTTGACGTTACTGTTTGCAAAAATATTAAAATTTTTTTTAGATTAAGTGATTATACATATCTGTTCTATTTTGTTTAGTGCAATCGTATGTGCAAACGTATGTGTAAAAGGGGCAATTGATTATGATGAAAATGTTATTCGATGGTAATAGGGAACATTATGAAATGATTCACTCGCAGTTATATTATAAGTATTGTTACACAAATTAAGTGATATCGTAAGCATCACACTATCGATCTTAAATGTATTAGATATAAATGGAATATCAAATTTACATCACATCCGTCCTAAAATTTGCATAGATGCGTAAGTTGTAGTTAAGATGTAACATACTTTTATATTGTATTTACAGAGTACTTATCGCAGAATTCACTACAAAATTGTAATTGTACAGAAACCGTCGATTCCTATATACAAATTGTAAAGCACTTTTATATGATTGTTGAAAATGTTGTGGAATAAAAATATATACATATGTCTATTCTTTACCATGCCGTGTATTTTTATGTGACAGAGCGAAATTCTTAAACATTAAGTAACATTAATTCTTTTATCTTTGTAGTATTAATATTTTCTACAGTGCATTTTAATATGTAACTAACATACTAATCTTGAGGGATTACTTGCATGCAGCTGGACGGAAGATGATGAATCTCAGTATATCAGTATTGCCTCATCCACATATCATCAGCACATAATAATAATCTCTAATGTTATGTAAGTATTACATCAAATAAGTTTTATAACTTAGACTAATAAAAGTAATAATTTTATTTTCTGAATAAAAAAAGATTCACAAAAAATTCTATATTAATAAGAGAAGGTAAATTAAAATATGATTTAATTGTAAGCGTTTCTTTAGATTTTAACACATATTGATTTAAATATACTTGGAATGAAGTTGGTTTTTTTTCTTTGCACAATTACATTCTACTAATTACAATTACTAATACGTTTTATGTGTTATTTTAGCACATTATTTTATGTGTTTTATATGTTATTTTAGAAATTATTATTCTGTTTCTGCTATCATGCTTCATTAATTTTATAATTATATTTTGCCTTTGCATGCAAAGTTATCTAGAAATTTATTATTATATAATTTTTAGCTTTAAGTTAAAGTAATTAAGTTATTTTAGTTATAAAAGATAAAAAAGGAAAATAAAAATTGTTAGAATTAAAAATAATCTTTTTGAAATAATCTTTTTTGATTATATTGTATTATCTTGGCATTTTTTCCAGAATTCTACACTTATTTTTTTTTTCTTTCGAATTTTGAACAGATAAAATATGCTATATAAAAATTAATTCTTTTAAGCTTAGAAAAAACATTTTTTATTGGATACTATATTAGAATTATAAGTTGTAAATATGGCCTCATCAAAAAATTAGAATTTGTTTCGATAAATTTATTATAAATTTAACTAAAAATTATTTTTGTTGTTTCATTAACACATTTTGTTATATGTAGTGATAAATTTTGTTAAAAAATATGAATCATGAGAGTAAATATGCATTATATTTATTATCTTTGTTATTGTGTATTAATTAGCCGACATGACTCTTTCAGGTTATCCACCAGGATTGACGTGGTGTGCCTACCTTAATGATCCTGTAAGCCGATTTGATATGGTACCAAGTTTATCCCATTAAATAATTTCTGCCTTTACAAATCGAGTTGACACAATACTGTTTCGTTCAAATTTAAATATATATATA